AGGTGGCTCTGTCAAGGAGCTTGTTCACATCCTTCCTCGACTGTAAACCCAGTCCATCCCAGGCAGCCTGTGCTCATGGGTCTGCAGCCTTCTGTGCAGTGTGACCGCTAACTGGCCTGGGATTCTGGGCTGGCGTTCAGGCTCTCCAAGACTTTTACCCATCTCCATATGTGGAGCACATCGTCCAGCACCTTCCTGCCCAGGACCCCTGGTGGAGCAAGGAGAGCATTGGAGCTGCTGGGGGTGGGGGGGGCGGGGGGTGAGTTGGGGGGTTGGGGGGTGTGGACCCCAGTTGTTCTGAGAGCCTAATCTTTAGCTTGGAAGTTAAAATCCTGGTCACTCGTGAGCACATGCTACATGAGACAGCGTCTTTTTCATTTTTTAACAGTGATTTCCATTCGTTCTTTGTTCTTTGTGCAAAGGTGTTGCAGTTTATACATTATTGAACAAGCTGTAGAGGAAGTCATTACTTGGTGAAAAAATGTTACTTAGCATCACCTAATACAGCATGCCAGCAATTGCAGAGATTTTCTGATGGTCCCATTCTAGATATTCTCATCCGTAATACAATTCATGCAGAGCACAGTGTGGCAAAGCCTCCAACCAAAACGCTCAAGCACCAAATAAAATCTGTGTAGTTGGATTTTATGATTAATGGGAGAGCGGAAAGAAAAGCCCATCATTTGAAGTCATGTCAAATCTTGCTGAAACACCCAGTACTCCCCCACGCTTCAGGTCCCATGTAGTGGGGTCTGGAACTGCCTTGTATCCTGTATGTATCCAGCCCCCATACTTAAGAGAGAGGGTGTCAGGAAAGGGGTGTGGCCCAGCAGGGGCTGCTGCTCTTGGGCTCTTCTTTCTGTCCACAGCCCAGGCTATCCCAGGAATTCATGATTGGGCCAATGTGAGCAGGCCCTATGGGAAAGTGTGTTCTTCCAAAATATGGCACAGAGAGGGTGTGAGCAGAAACACTGGTCAATGAGGGCTTCCGGTCCACCATGTTTGGTTAGTTACTGTTTACTTATAGTGGGTAAAGATTGCCTGAGACTTTGCAGAAGAGTGTGAGGATTTGCCTCTCCTGCTGGGAAAATGTGTAAAGTTCTAAGAGAAAGAAAAATCCCATTATCTTTGTTAAAAAATCAAAAATACACATTGGAATTCAAGGTGCTTTTGCTACAGCTGGGAAAAGTAGATGGTATGACTTGAATGAAAGAAGAAGAAATGGAGCAGATGTGTGGGCAAAATAGCCACAGGGAAGTGGGGGGGCTGTGGAATTCCCACTCTGCCTCCTTCCCTAGAAGGTAACAGGTTTCCCTTTAAATTAGAGAGAAATGTTGCTTGGAGCCTGGACACTGTTGTGCGGTGGTGCAGGGCTTGGGGCTTGGGGCTGGGCGGGCACAGCCGTCCTCTGAGACGTCCGTGAACCACACTGCCCGTTCTGCATTCAGAGATTTCCCTTTGAGCCTTTGAGATCTCGTAGCTCCACATGGCAGTGGCCTCGTGGCCTCATGGTTGCTTGTGATATGTTCCTTATCCCAAATCTTCACTCCCTGAACCTCAGCCCCGCTTCCACCTAGAGACACGGGCCATTTCCTTTCCCTAGGATCAGAGGGAGCACTCATCACGGCTTTGGAGGGTTTTATGGAAAGTGAGGATAGACTTTTTTTTTTTTTTTTTAAAGATTTTATTTATTTATTTGAGAATGAGATAGAGAGAGCATGAGAGGGGGGAGGGTCAGAGGGAGAAGCAGACTCCCTGCCGAGCAGGGAGCCTGATGCGGGACTTGATCCCGGGACTCCAGGATCACGACCTGAGCCGAAGGCAGTTGCTTAACCAACTGAGCCACCCAGGCGCCCGTGAGGATAGACTTTTGACACTCCACAGTCTTCATGCACTTCCCGGTGCAGGGTCTTCTGATCCATGCTCTTATGGATTAAATAGACCTTTATTGGTGCGCGAGTCTGCACCACTTCACTGGCTGTATGTGTTGGGCCAGTTCCCTGATCGCCCTCAGCCTCAGTCCCCGCCCTGCACAAATGGGGGGATTCTCACTTTGTCATGGGGCTGTTGGGAGTGTTCAGATCATGTAGGTGTCAGTGAGGTCAGGTTCCTCCCTAGTCCCAGACACCTGCCTCTTGGATTTCACTGCCTCCGCAGCTACGTGTGACAGTGCTCCCATGGAATAATGATGCTCAGGTGCCAGAAGCTCGCCAGGCAAGCTTTGTTTTGGTGGCCATCTTGCATGGGTAAAGCTGTTGCCACGACTGTTCAGAGGACTTTGGCCCTCTCCTGGTAAAATACGTGTCTGAGAAAAAGAGAAATTCCAAGCCCTCACTCGGAGTAGTAATTGTTATTCATAGAGCGCTCCCTGTGCCTTATATTACAGTCTGCATTTAGGTACCTGTTAGGGGCTGAATTATGTCCCCCAGAATTCATATGTTGCAGTCTTAACCCCCAGTAAGTCATTGTGTGACTGCACTTGGTAAAGGTCCTTTAAATAGGTCATTGAATTAAAACAAGGTCTTTGGGGGCGGGGGGTGTCCCAGTCCAGTGTCACTTGTGTCCTGTAAGAAGAAATTAGGACACAGACGTGCAACGAAGGGAAGCCCATGTGAAGACACAGCAAGAAGGTGGCTGTCTGCCAGCTAACGAGGGAGGCCTCGGAAGGAAACAACCCTGCCGACACCCTGATGTTTTGACTTCTAGCCCCCCGAACTGTGAAAATATCAGTTTCTGTTGTTTACGCCCCGTGGGCTGTGGTACTCTATGGTGGCAGCCCCAGAACACTGACACAGTGCCACTGTCTAAGGTCTAATGCTGTCTCTTCTGCTCCTCTTGACACCTTTCTGTGCCGATGAATATTCTGTACGTATTTTCTCAAGTAGCTTTCATTACTCACAAATTTGAAAAGGTCTATTAGCAAGTTATTTGTAGGAGTGCCCAGGTGGCTCAGTCGGTTAAGCGTCTGACTCTTGGTTTTGGCTCAGGTCCTGATCTCAGGGTCGTGAGATTGAACCCCGCACCGGGTTCCGTGCTCAGCAGGGCGTCGTCTGCTTGAAGATTCTCTCCCTCTGCCCTTCCTCCCCTCCCCTCACTCACACACACACACACACTCTCTCTCAAAATAAATCTTTAAAAAAAAAAAGTTATTTGTAAATATTATTTCTTGAAGTCTTGTTACCAGTAGAAATTGTCCTCTGCCTGGTCATTGCTGCCTTAGCATGCTGACTCCTTGATGAGGCTTAGAATACCTTGGTGCCCAAGCCTTCTGGACAGAAGTGTACTTTCATGAATGGTCTGCCTTCTGGATTGTGGAGCTAGTGAATCACCACAGTGCTCTCTCATGCATAGCTAAACTAACGTAGGTTTGAAATCGCACAAGAGGATTCATTCGAAGATTTAGAGGTTTATGTGTTCATGTGAAGTGAGTTAACTTGTAAGTAGAAGTCTAAAATCAATTTGGTTTAATATCCTGGTTTACTTTCGTATTTCCTATATGCTTGAATAAAATGTTGTATAAACACACACACACACACACAGAGAAGCCATTTGTTTAAAGAATTGGTATGTTCGCCTAAAAACCTTGTGAACAGCCCCTTTGCATCGCTGTGCTGTCACCTCGTGTGCTATCCGAGGGCCTTTCAGTGGCTGGCCCCTGCTGGAGGTACTGAGCGGGGCTGCGGAGTCTTAGACCAGGGGTGAGCCTGCTCTGGGAGGCAGTGTGCAACACTCCAGAGTAGAGGATGATCACAGGGCAACATTTTGTTCCTCTTGAACTCCTGCCTGTCAACAACGGAGTAGAAGCAAAGGTAATTCTTAGGATCATTCTGTCTTTACTCCATTTAAAGGAAGAAAATGAGAGGCACAAGCTACCCATAAAAGTGTCATGGTGGGGGAGGGGGGCAGAATCTGCAGATGGCCACCGTTTCCATACCATCAAAATCTCCACATTGACCAAGTTAAGAGGTGGTGCAGAGCTGGTGGGTGGCAGCCATCTATTAAGAAAAGCTGGGGAGCATGGCCCACCCTACGAGTCTGGTGGCACACCGCAGCTCTGAGCGTTGATGCGCCTTCCTCCCCTAGGCTCACTTCTCAAGAAGGTTCCAGAATTCTCTGCATTCTACCCGGGCTGAAACATTTTTGCCTTAGGGCTTTTCACCCTGTTTTCCCCATGCACAGGAAGAAGTTTCACACTGAAACTCAGCACTCAGTCCCTTACGTAACTGAAGCAACAGACCATGCTTGATGCACTTTGAGATTTTCTTATTCCCTTAAAGAAAACCAAAACGACTCAACACACACATACAAGGTGGTCACAACCCATTCAGTTGATTTTATGATCCACTAGTGGGTTTTGAATCACAATATGAAAAATTCTGCCTTAGACTTAACAGATCAACTAATTTTTTCTAATTGGCTCATCGCAACATGTGGGAAATGAGTCTCTTGTTTTGAAAGGACAGAATTGCGGAAGAGAAGAGAGGAAGGAGGGTACGGGTTTGTACCCAGTGGGGCCAGTCTGCTGCCAGGCAGCCCTGGGAGGGTCTGGAGGTCCCTGGAGTGGTGCAGGCGGTGGGCTGGCGAGGTGGGAGCAGTGCGGGCAGCTCTGGCCACTCCTAGACTTGGAGCACATCTGAGCGCCTCAGTCCAACTTCCCTCCGGGTACAAGAAGGCCGAAGACCTTTCTGCCTTATTTTTCTCTCTGAGGGGCACAGGAATTTTCTAGAAAGTATCATCCTTCAGAAGGAAACTAGCTGTCTGCTGTTTTGTTATCTTTTTGTGCTGCTGGTACTCTGCTCTTCTTTCAGAAGTGAATGAGAGAGGAGGTGTAGGAATTCCCAGCTTTTGCAAAGGCACACCCCACCTGCACCTCCCTTTGCCCGGCAGTGGCTGTCGGGTGTACCCACGGTGGCCCCCGTGTGTCGGAGGGATGGGGAAGCGTGTCCGAGCGCCACTGATGCCCCCTGCGTGCCCACTGAGCCCTTGCTCTGTCTCCACAGGCCTCGGCAAGACCAAGAGGAAGACGAGCGCACGGGATGCATCCCCCACGCCCAGCACGGATGCCGAGTACCCCGCCAACGGGGGCGGCGCCGACCGCATCTACGACCTCAACATCCCCGCCTTCGTCAAGTTCGCCTATGTGGCCGAAAGGGAGGACGAGCTGTCCCTGGTGAAAGGGTCACGCGTCACCGTCATGGAGAAGTGCAGCGACGGCTGGTGGCGAGGCAGCTACAATGGGCAGATTGGCTGGTTTCCCTCCAACTATGTCCTAGAGGAGATGGACGAAGCGGCTGCCGAGTCCCCCAGCTTCCTGAGCCTGCGGAAGGGCACCTCCATGAGTAATGGCCAGGGCGCCCGGGTCCTGCACGTGGTGCAGACGCTGTACCCCTTCAGCTCCGTCACTGAGGAGGAGCTCAACTTCGAGAAGGGGGAGACCATGGAGGTGATTGAGAAGCCCGAGAACGACCCTGAGTGGTGGAAGTGCAAAAACGCCCGGGGGCAGGTCGGCCTAGTCCCCAAGAACTACGTGGTGGTCCTAAGCGACGGGCCCGCCCTGCACCCCTCGCAGGCGCCGCAGATAAGCTACGCGGGCCCTGCATGCAGCGGGCGCTTCGCGGGCCGAGAGTGGTACTACGGGAACGTGACGCGGCACCAGGCCGAGTGCGCCCTCAACGAGCGGGGCGTCGAGGGCGACTTCCTCATTAGGGACAGCGAGTCTTCGGTAAGTGCCCCGGGGCAGCCGAGGTCTGCCCGCCGCAGTGCGCAGCTGTGTGTGTACATCGCACCCCACGCTGGTCGGCACCGTTCCCTCTCCACACACTGCGCATAGCCTAAGAATGTTTGGCCATCCCATTAGCCTAGAGCCCCCCATATTTGGGTCTCCAGTTAAGCTAGAGGAATGCGATTTGCCTATAAACCCGCATAAGGTTGCTGCTCTGTAATAGACTTAAGTCTGCGGTGGGTGTAGGAACCCAGCTGGGGAAGGTGGCCATCACTCTCCTGCGGACGGACCCTCGCGGATGGGATGGTAAGTCAAAGAGCTTTTTAGCTCCCAAAGGTGGTTTTCCCGCTCTACTGAGATTACCCCTTTAATGTTCTAGACTCAGACGTCATTTTCTCTCCGGGCTTCCCATTCTGTTCATGACCCCACTCCCCCCACCCCAGCCCTGGTGGTTGACTCTGTTTCTGCTCTGGGTCCTAGGCATGTCTGCTGCACTCAGCGGGAGGGGCACCTGGTTTCCGACACAGCCTTTGTTGGTTGGTTGGTTTTCCTTTTGAAACCAACCAGTCCTAAGGTCATCTGCACTGCAGGCGACATCACGGAGTTCATCTCCGAAAAGCTTTTAAAGCACTTACGAACAGAATTGAAAAGAAGACAGGGCTTGAGAGAGATGAGTTTGCATGTGTGAACTGAATCAGAGGTATGAGGCCCCTTGACTTGTAGCAGATCCATTTCCAGCGGCGGACAGATGTGGGGTTTGTGTTTTGGGGACATGGCTGGGCCTGTCTGGAAGAACTGGGCCAGTGTCATGCAAGGTCACCTTTTCATGTGTAAATGTTCTGGAAATACTCAACCCAACAGGCTTTGTTGATCCCTTTGCAGATACACCTTCCATATAGTAAGATTTCCCCCGAAACAAGACTTTTGTAGATAGAGTCCATTGCAATTACGTTGTATTGGTTCTAGCAGTTTTCAGTTTATTTTTTTAAATGCCTATAAGACTAGGAAATATGTGATCTGTACTGTAATTGGTGTCCTCTGGGAAGGTTGGTACCACCATCAGTAAGTGTGTATTCAAGACTCCTGCAGACTGATCTGAGAGGAATTCAAGGCCACAGAAATGTTTTTCCTCTTCTGAGAGACAGGCAGCTGTGATCTGTTCTTCTTCGAGGCAGGAGGAGCATCGTGGTGGTGGCAGCCAGACTCCTCACGGTGTCAGCAGGTCGCAGGGTTGACGGCCACCGTAGATGTGCTGAGGCAAGCACACCAGGCCTGGATATTAACTCTCTCTGAAATCTGAACTGAGATTTTCTTATCCAGCCGCCAGAGCTTATCGTTGCTGGCAAGACATCAGATTGAATTGTTCTCACGTGACGTAAGCTCTGTGCATAGCTTCCTTTAGATCATGCTGGAAGCTTAGGAGAATGAAGTATGCTGCACATTTAACTTTTGAGCAGAAACTTAGAGGAATCACTGGAAAACGAATTACAGTAGAAAGTGGTTGGTCCAGAGTACTTAAGGGATAAGTATGATCCTGAGTCAGAAAGTATAATCTTGATTTAGAAATTTTGAGTTCGAGGGGTGCCTGGTTGGCCCAGTTGGAGCATGTGACTCTTGATCTTGGGGTTGTGATTCAAGCCTCATGTTGGGTGTAGAGATTACTTAAAAATAAAAAAATAAAAAATCCTTAAAAAGGGACGCCTGAGTGGCTTAATGGGTTAAATGCCTGCGTTTGACTCAGGTCATGATCCCAGGGTCCTGGGATCGAGTTCCGTATGGAGCTCCTTGCTCTCCCTGCTTGTGTGCTCTCTCTGACAAGTAAATAAATCAAATCTTCAAAAAAAAAAAAAAAATTCCTTAAAAGAAATTTTGAGTTTTGAAGACACTTCTAGAACGGGGAGGGGCCAAAGTAGCCCTTAGCCTCATTCATTGTTCTTCCTGTCTAGGGCTCGGGGACAGGGTAGATGAGAAAAACGCCCTCCAGATTGCCGGCCTTGGGGTGGACCTCCTACTACGTTTCTGTAGGAAAAACACACTCTGGGTGTCACTGTCTGAACCCAGAGAGCAGATCCTTGTAAATAGGGAGGGGTACAGGCACCCCTCTTTTCATTGTGCTTCACAAATACTGTGTTTTTCACAAATTGAAGGTTTGTGGCAGCCCTGTGGTGAGCAAGTCTGATTGGCACCATTTTCCACCAGCATTTGCTCACTTCATGTCCCCATCCCGTTTTGGTAATTCTCACAGTATTTGAAACTTTTTCATTATGTTTATATTTGTTATGGTGATCTGCGATCAGAGATTTTGACTCCCTGAAAGCTCAAGGTGATGCTTAGAATTTCTTAGCCATAAAGTATTTTTTAGTTGAGGCATGTGCATTATTTTTTAGACATCATGCTGTCACACACTTAATGGACTACAGGGTAGTGTAAACATGACTTTTATGTGCTCTGGGAAACCAAAGAATTCATTGGATTCGCTTTCATGTGAGATTTGCTTCTTTGCGGTGGTCTAGATGATCTCTGAGGTGTGCCTGAACTTGCATTATCTGGGTTCCGTCTAAGCACTGGAATAAGCTCCAGTGTCTTGTTTGTCTCAGATTATGAGAGAATATGCTGACTTTCTAAATAATTGAAACATTAACTTTTGACATTTTTGTAGAACCTTCTCCAGATTTTTTGCATTTTTGTCTGAACTTAGAAAAGCAAGGTATGAGACACAAATAGTGTGATTCCAGGAGGATGGAGGCAGGAGATGGCCCTGTATCAGCCCTGCACCCTCACTAGCACCAGGGTGAGGAGGGCAACGTGACCTGACGGTGTGCAGGGCTGTCTTGTCCTGGTGGCTTATGCCCTGACACGTGGCATTTTCCACTCTTGGGATGCCTGCCTTGTGCCAAAGGGAGGCTACAGGGGTCTCCAAGGCATGTTGCTGCATTTCTCCCAACAGCAGACCTAGGTTTGCTTTTCTCGCTCATACCCGGGTCATCTGAGGCTGTTGAGGAACTTGAAATAGATGGACAGATCCATTCCTTATTCATTTTCCACCATCTACTGACTGCGTCTGCCTCTTGCCAGTGCTCTCTTATCCCTTCCTCTCCTTGTCTCCTTTCCTATTCATTTTGGCTCTTCTGAGATGAGAGCCTGGCTTTCAAAGCAACCACCAGACCGATATGAGCCCTTAATCTAGCAGCTGTAATCTGACAGCACATCGTGTCATGCCGGGGTCAGAAAGGTTTCTGATAGGGTCTGCATTCCTACAGGACACAGAGACATCATTTCGCTTCCCTTTTCTGTCTTGCAGTCTTTGGGCCTGGAACTTTCCTCTGGTTGAGGTTACCACGGGACACCTGACTTCTGAATAAGCACAGTAGCATTTTTAGAGCCCTTCTTCCATATAGGCCTCGTGAAGATCTTCTGAGTGATTCCAATATAAATAAGCGAGGCGCTTGCTTGACGTTATCTTGCATTTAAAAATTCTCAGTATTTCTCTGTTTTGAAAAATAAAAATATATCCAACGCTGAGCCCTAGGACATGTGTGCTTTTGGGGGAGGAGAAGTGCATATCTTGGAAAAACCAACACAAACATTGCCGCATCCCGTGCTAGCCGGTGTGAGTGATGTCATAGGTGTTTTCGGAGGTATCTGTCAGGCGTGTTTTATCAAGGAATGAAGGGAATAACCAAATAATCCTTTTCGGGCTCTTTTTCCTGTCCCGACTCTCAATACCTACTCTCTGTTTTCTATCATCTTCTCTCGCTTCTTCTCCACTCCATAATCATCATTTCTCCTCAGCAACTCACGGTGAAAACAGCACGGTTCCTTATTCTCCATGTTCCGTTACCCTGCCTGCACCTGCGAATCCAGAGCTCATTAAGTCCAGAGAATTCAAAGTTCATACCTGTCCTCTGTGTGCTCCTCATACATCCTTATGTATTTGCCCACACTTACTCTACGGATACGGCTGGAAAGCTGTGCCCACAGCTAAGAATACCCAGCAGCAAGGCTTCCAGTAAACTGTGGAAGTTGTCAGTAGTTAGCTTTCCAGGTGCTCTACCCTCCATCCTTGAGAAGGTTATTCGGAAAGAGACAGCTTATACCTGGGATGCGGTCTGCCAAGGGCACTAGCTGTGGCTTAGGGAGCTATTTTCCTCTGCCAGACTTTAAAAATCCCAGAGAGATCTCCTTCCTCACATGTATTATGTTTCACAGTAGGATTTGGGTACTAATTTCTGGTCATACACTGCATTTGTTTTTTTTTTGTTTTTTTGTTTTTATTGGAGAGAGAGAGCACAAGCAGGGGGAGTGGCAGGCAGAGGGAGAGGGAGAAGCAGGCTCCCCACTGAGCAAGGAGCCCGATGTGGGGCTCGATCCCAGGACCCTGGGATCATGACCTGAGCCGAAGGCAGACGCTTAACCGTCTGAGCCACCCAGGTGCCCCTGCATTTGTTTCTTTTTTTTTAAAGATTTTATTTATTTATTTGACAGAGAGAGACACAGCGAGAGAGGGAACACAAGCAGGGGGAGTGGGAGAGGGAGAAGCAGGCTCCCCGCAGAGCAGGGAGCCCGGTGCGGGACTCAATCCCAGGACCCTGGGATCATGACCTGAGCTGAAGGCAGTCGCTTAACCAACTGAGCCACCCAGGCGCCCCTGCATTTGTTTCTGATGGAGAAAAACCACGCTTTGCTAAAGATAACATAATGTGTGTGTTGGCCACACGAACAGTCATCTGTTCCATTCCTTCCTCTTTAAAAAAAAAAAAAAAACAAAAAAACCCATTAAGATTATTTGGCCAGGGAGGAGCAGAAGGAAAGAATTACTATAGTGCCTTGCTACAGAATTCCAATTCTATTTCTTATAGAAATCATATTTTTTTTTGCCAAAACTCTGTTTCTGGGTGATGTCATCCCTTTGCCTCTCCAGATCACTGATGCTCACACTGTCATATTGTGCTACCATCTCCCTGAGGGCCTGGAAAGATAGAGACCACAGGGTCCCACCC